AAGTTGACGTTATTTATACCGACTTTTCGAAGGCTTTCGATAAAATTAACCACAAAACATTATTAAATAAGTTAGGTGCACTTGGTTTCACAGATGATACTAGGGAGTTGATGAAATCTTACTTATCCGATCGTAGACAATTTGTTAGCTATAATGGCTTCCAATCTGAGACCTACTTGGCGCCTTCTGGAGTTCCTCAGGGGTACCACCTGGGACCATTACTGTTTTTGATACTTATTAATGACCTCTGTGACTCAGTTGAATGTGAACGCCTATGCCTATGAAGTGTAAAATAGTTAGCTATACCAGGAAAATTAATGTTTGCGAATATCCGTACTCTATTGATGGGTCTGTGCTAGCAAGATGCTCTGATGTACGTGATTTAGGTATAATCTATGATCAAAAGTTAACTTTTAGTCAGCATATACGAGTAAATAAAAAAGCATCAGAATCATTGGCGGCTTATGGTTTCATAGTAAGGAATTGCAGGAATTTTCATAACATAAAGTCTATTAAGCTATTATATTATGCTTATGTTAGATCCAAAGTCGAATATTGTAGTATTATTTGGAGCCATTACTATGAATGCTATAGCACAGCTATTGAAAGAGTTCAACGGAAGTTTATCAAGTTTGTTCTGTTTAGGATCGATGGGACATATCCAGAGAGAGGTACAAGTAGTGAGGAACTATGTAGTCGCTTAGATATGTTGACTTTGAAAAAACGTAGGTACTGTGCCTCAATAATATTTGGCTACAAAATGATCAACAATTTAATTGATTGCCCCATGATCCTGGAACAGATCAAGTTTCGTACTCCAACGTTTCCATCTCGCAATCATAAAATATTCGGGCTTCCTAGAGCTAGGGCGAACATTCTTCTCAAGTCACCGTTATATGTAATGTGCTCTAACTTAAACAGAATTGGATGTTACTGTGATATATTTACGACAAATGTTAATTACCTGCTAAAGGCAGCTAAGGCTTATTCGGACTAATAGGTCATGTTACAAATTTATACCTGTGTTGTATTTGTTGTTTTCTTTTCGCTTTTTTCGCTTTTTTTTGCTTTTTTATTATGTTTATAAATTGTCCTATAAATGGGAATCTGTTGGACAATAAAGCTATTATTATTATTATGAATAAAACATACTGGCCATGACTTCTCCGGTAGATACAATTGACTCCTATTATTTGGCTCTGCACCAACAGCTTCGGCTTTGGCTGCAGTTTTGTTTCTAGTGAATTGGTCCAAACATTACTGCGATAGTACTTTGCGCTTTCAGCAAATATTTGCGCAGAGAATACTTATCCCAGTACTTTGTACAAAATGTTTCATATCCTTTGTTCCGATATCTCCCCATCACCTCAGCTAACATATTGTACTTACCTTTACATTCCTATAGTCCATCACGATATCGTGGACCTTCGATGGTGTCAGGTATGGTTGCGGTTTACTGACAATCCTTTGCATGGGTCATCTTCAAGGGACGAACGCTAACGTTCAAGTTCAGATAAGTTTTTTTTGATAGTTCAAATCGCCTTCGAATATTTACGGACGCTCCTTAGTCTCCGTAAATTTTTCCTCATAGATTAATCCATGCAACAAGAAGGATTTGATAACAGCACGTTATTCAAGTTTTTCAACTTGGCGAAAACCACGCAAGATGTTCACTCAAAAAACTCGTGTAAACAAACTCTTTGAGAGAACAAGTTCAAACAAGTTGAAACGAACAAATGACGTGTGCACCCATGCAGAAATCATAAAAGATAGATGGTTAAACACAAGTTAGGTATAACATTGAAGTAGCGCCTTAGAAATTTAAGCATTTCAAAAATTGTCTCCGCTACCTTGTATATGAAAAAGTGTCCCGCAAAAAAATATCTCCCACCCGTCTATTTATCAGAGGTGTAAATGATCCCATATCCTGGGTCCTTTTTCATATAAAAGTAATAAGGATGAACCCATCCATCCAAAGTGACGAAGTAATAATACCTTTCAAATAATGCTGTGTGAAATATCGCCGTCGAAATCTCTTTGTCGAGTCACAGTGTAACAAAAACGGTCTCATTATACAGGAGGAGGAGTCCATCCCTCCAGTGGCGTGCGGAAAATTTGTGACTCTTATTTTTTAATTTTTGGTCTCAAGGCACTGGGCGACTTCTAAAACTTTGAATATTTTAGACACATTCTTATTCCTGTACACGCAACTCTATTTTCTGTTATAACAGATGCATAAATCAGCAGCTTCTGGAATAACTTCAACTCCAACCCAACTAGCAAAGTAGTGCTATAAGCTTTTGGTAAAAAAACCGTTCAGCCATAAAAGCTCTCTATTGACTGAACACCAAAATGCTGGCTTAATGTTATGTGGAATGCAAATTTGCTTTTTGCAACATATTTGCTCTAAAATGACTTGTTTAAAATATTCTTTAGCATAGTTGTACAACACCTTATAGGACAAATTTTTAACTCTTGCATAAACGTTTATACAACTATTTTATACGGCATATTGCACGTTCCTCAAAATGGTTGTGTTGTGGCATCCATGGTAACGTTTATAAAACAAACCCGAGCCTTGTTGTTTTGCTGTGCATATTACTACTTTAGCCAACAAGTTGCTCCCAACGGAAGCACTTACACAACTGTTGATTAGTAGCTGTGAAATGATGTACGTATGCTAAATATGTTGGTATACAACTTCACCATAACCTAACTTTCTGCTGTCATATTTTTGTTAAAATGCTATAACCAATGATTTAAGACAAACAACGCACGCATATTGGTTAAAAAGGTTTTATTAACTGTTCAAACAGAAGATATAGATCTGGTACAAATTCTGGGTAAATCATTCGACTCTGTCGGTATGTCATTTCAGACATTTGTCAAATTGTTGCATCACACCTGCAGGCAACACCAAAATATTCTAATAATTGGACGATGCCATGATTATACACAACCACAAGCCATATTGGGCAAACATTTATTCCTCTATTTAATATTAAATAATTATGTTTCAGTTCGAAATTACAGATATAAAGTGATAAACATTAGTGTGATTGTGTCTGAATATAGGATTTGTGGAAGATTTGACGCAGATAAGTTCAGTTTTCCATCCTAAAAATCTAGACATACTTTTGATCATTATCAAAATATGCATCAAATAAGAAGCCCGTAGAAATTGCCTAACTACTTTGCACGACAATCACAATAAAATTTGCTGCGCAAGTAATTCAATAGCCCTATATCACAGTGTAGAAGTTTATCATATACCTGTGTATGAAATTCACAATGGCCGATATGTAAGTAAACAAGATGACTGTAATGTGTTAGTTATATATTATTCACTTCGTCTATGCAATACATAAGAAATAGTTTGGTTGCAATAAAGTAGAATCACGTAACAGAATAGTTGTATGGTTGACAAAAACTGAATCTTGCACTGACGCAAATGTCCTATAGCGGCTGCAAGGGGCTTACACTTTTGTTGTATAACTGTTACCTGCAGCGCTTATACAACCTCTTAAATAACTGAAGTGTCCTATTAGGTGTGCCCATTCCGCTTGTATAGCTGTTCTAACAGGGTTTTGCCAATGTTCTTACAGTATAGAATGCGGTGTAAGGAATACTGTATAATCATTCTTACAACTCTAATAGGAGTGATAATTGTTAGTTGCGAAGGCTTGACTATGGTTTCCGGTACCACCTTCCTCGCTCACCGTAAGATATCCGTCGCAATTGAGGAGTTCTCCTTCCATCCCACAATGTCAACGCACATGCTTGTCAGAGATCGGTCTTGACTCCGACATCACTTAATAACGACCCGCTTTCTTGAACGATCAGTCCGATCCACAGCTCTGCTGACGACAGCACTCTACATGCAAGAATTCAATGCTAAGCCTATCTCTGACATTGATCTGGAGAGAAGAACACTCGCAGCAGCTCCCTGACTGACGAGAGATCTGGAGATTCTCACATCTTAGGGACTCAACAGTCTCGTTCAGTTTAATGCTTCCAGTACCCTGTAGAGCACCTTGACTTATAAGATGTGTCCTAGCGCTCAGCCGGTTTCAATGGATGGCCGAGAACAAAAAGCCGCTCAAATCGGATGGTCGAAAACCAAACCACATAGTACTTGATCTGGCACGAGCACATTCGTCAACTGCGTAACTGCTGGCAAAAACTATTCGTTCAGGGCTAAAAAGTAGCTTTCTTCGCATATCCTATTCACTGTGTTCGAGACCCAGACCTAACCTCGATGACGACGATTTTACATATGTAGTAGATGTGGTCTACTTGCCATTTAACCAAATAAAATAAACATGGTATGCTTTCGTCCATCCGAACATGGACAGCTATTTCGTTCTTTCTGGCTAGGACTATGAATGAAGACACAGCAGCTGTACACCATATGAAGTCTGCGATCTATCAAAATGAGACAACGCAAAGCGCCATCTTTGTAAAGCGTGTAGCTGCTCTACTTTCGTCTGTTGTCCGATAGACCCTAACCCTGGACCATGCTGAGGAGCAGCCAAAAGCACGAAAGAACTGTTTATTTTATTTTCTTCAATGGCAACGAGGCTCCATCAGCTACACAGGTATAATAACCGCCATCTGGGGGTCACGTGGTAACCGGGCTTCGCAGTGGTCTATACTATTGGTAGAAAGCGATTTGCGCTGTCTTATTTCGACTGAATATTTACGTTATCACTTTTTTCTGGTTTAAAAGGACGAGCATTTGTTAACATATTCCGCAGCTATAAGGTGTATCTCCTCCTCTCAGCCGAAATATAAACTCAAGAGTTTAATTCATCTGGAACGTTTAATTCAATGTTTACTTGGAAATTTAATGACGGTAAATGTTTTTCATCCATAACGAAATCGCACGTTTGATGCTCTTTCTAGATTTAAGTGAAGATAATGGTTACAAAATCATTCATGGGTGCCATTTCGGAATGGTGTTGAATGCTTTTAATCGATAACGAAATCTTACTATTGATGCTCTTTTTAGATTTAAGTGAAGATAATGATTAGGAAATCATTCATGAATCCAGCCTAGTAGATAGCCGCACTGAATATGGAATATTTAGCTGCTTTTGGTAAATGGAAATTATATTCAGTCCCTTAGAAACCAGATCCAAGCAAGTTGACTCTACATCTCACATGCAATTGATTGAATTCATGGAAATAAGGAGAAGATAATCTAACTATTGACAGAATTGCGTGGGAAGTACATATTCAATATTCTTCTCTCTCTACGAGTATATTCTTCTACAAAAAAACATACATTTATTTCTCTAATCATTCACCATCAATCTTAATATTACTCATTGCTTCCAATAAAAATTTAAGTTTATCGTGAACACTATCTATCTTATTATTATATTTTTCAATGACTGCAGCTTCTTTTGCACGTCGACTTCGTACACCTTGCAGCTGCTGGTTATGTTGGTTTTGGGGCTCTTCATCAAAGTCGTTACAAATATTTTCCATCCTCTGGAATAGCCTGTCATCGACGAGCTTCACTTGTCCAGTTACCGTTCTTCCTTCGTAAAAAATCGCCTTCTCTTGACTATCGCTACCAAAGTAGTAAGCAATTGCATTTCTAATAGTAGCTACGTCTTTTGCGCCAAAGTAAGTTGCATGCTTAGAAATGTTCCGTAGTACACACAGAGATAAGTGAAGCATCGTCGTTAGCCTACTCACTGGAGCCGTGAGGCACTCCGAAAATCTGAACTCATCAGACTTTGGAGTTACCTGCAACACAAGAAATTATAAATAGTCACGTGACGGCCATCCGTGACGATAAGCGACTTAAATACAAATACGGATCACCAATCATAGACCAATTATGTGAATAGACACAGCGATGTAATAACTAGCGCTCGTCTTGGCGTAGAATTATTCCACTATTTTGGACCGATCAATTTGTTGTGTTCGAGTACATCTAATAACAAGGTAATACTTAAAATTCTATACTTGCTGTCTATATTCTCTCGGCCGGACTCTAATCAGATATACAGATAAAGTTTTGAGCAGAAAACTTTTTTCAATTTATTCACCTGTCTAAAACTTCAATTGGGCCGTTAATCAGTAACGAAGGTATACGAATATTACTTGTAATAAACTCTTAAAAATAATTTCATAATACTTGAAATTCATCCATATATATTAAAAAGCTCGTCTATGCGCCAGCATGAGATATATGTCTGTCGAATCTTAATAATCATCTCGGTGCGTAAAGATGAAGATAGAAAGAGAGCATTTCCTTTAGTTTGAGGATACATTATTTCGAAGTTTTATCAGATGCTAGTTACATCTCACATATAAGCCAGGTTGATTTACTGTTCAAAATATAACTTTTCTTCCTTATGCCTAAACATGGTACATACCACTTTTCTTGCATCATCATCTTCTGTATCCTCTCCGCCAGTTAACCTGAGTCGTTTCCATTTGATCCATATAACTTCAAAATAATATCGAATCTCGTCCCTGATATATTCCTGAACACTGTATTCGTGCTTCTCATCAGAATAGTACAACTGCGCATCTGCGTACGCGGTGCTTATGACTGCTACAACCACAGTGGAGTATATAGTCGAATACAGTTGAAATGTAGCATAATACAGCTTATAATCCTCCACAAGGTCCGGGTCAAAAACGAATCCAAAGGACATTAAAGACATCACAGCCACAGTTTCTATTACACCTGTAACACGGGACAAGCTTTTCAAATACAAATACGTACTCGTATGTCATGCAACACAGACAAAATTATCCACATCTCGGTGGATATACACAGCTGGGTTCACCATAAGGTATTCATCATGGCAAAAAAGTAACAAGAGTGAATAGGGCACAACAAGAAGCAACAAGGAACAGCCAGAAACGGCTGGAAATAACAAGAAATAAGAAGTAACAGCAAGAAACATCAATAAGCAACAAGAAATTACAAAAAAAACAAGAAACAGCGATAAACGAGAATCAACGATAAACAACCAGAAACAACTAGAATCAACAAGAAACAGCAAGAGAATATAAGAGACAACAAGAGACAACAAAGGACAATAAGAGACAGCAGGAGTCAACAAGAAATAACAAGAAAAAATAACACACAACGAGGCATGACGTGACACGACAAACAACAAGGAATTTACTGTTTACAATATATAAAAGCTTTTCATAAATGGCTGAACAATGGTTACATACCTCTGGCATTGGTGTTTTGTCCCTTGATTAACTGACCAGTGAACATGAATAGTATAATAATGATCATGTGGCAGAGAAACAAACACCACAATACCCTCATGCTGTATATTAAAGTTCTCTCTACGACCTGTATGATTTGGAAAAATCGCAGCAGTTTCCACAGGCGTAATGTAGCTACAAAAATCAGTACGGCAGCCATTATCGTTAAAGTGCTCTCTGTATAAAAAAGGTGGAAATAGTTTATAAACTCGTTGTGTTTGGCGTCTTCAACCTTTCTCAGAAATTGCTTTACTAGTTTAGTTCTTCCAACGTATAGAAATAGACATGCGATGCTCATCAAAACTATAACTAAGTCGATCAATAACCACATATCCTTCAATGCAATTCGTCTCTTCGTTGCTACTTTTATTACCAGCTTCAAGCCCAAAATTACAACCATTATTATGAAACATAAGGATGCTACTACAGTTACTGTACTTTCCTTTGATTTCACCACAAGCAGGCTAGCTACCCTTATATCTTGTGTCTCATATACGATACCTGACAAACTGACTTCATATTTTGACTGCACTTGACCGAACAGGTTTGCGTTTGCATTGTACAGAAGAAATTCAACAAACATGCACCTGAAAAAAATAGATGATATCTAGAATTGAAATAGATATTTCAAATCCTTAAAATCTCATTTTAATTTAACATCTGAAATATATCCTGTGTCAGTTGTACTCATAAAGCCCACGTTTATTTTGGACTATTATTTACCTATTATTTACTGGGTTTTTATTTACGTATATACAGCGTGTAAACATTATGATAGTCATTATTTAAACGGGTGATAGAGGGTGTTGACTTGTTTTGACCCCCCTATTACCCATTTCAATAATGACTACCATCACGTTTACACCCTGTATATTCATTATTCGTATTCCTGTCTGACGGATCCTATATGTATGTATACATGTTAGTCACCTTGTTAATGGTTCAAAAAATATGAATAATTGCTAAAGGTATGCTTTGAAAACTTAACGTTGTTTACTTTGTGATATTAAGCATCATATACTATGATGCATGCTCCTAAATTGTAGTTGAAAATTAATATTAGAAGGAATAATTTCCAAGAACACTGCATACCCCTGATTTAAAAAATAGATGGCAAAAGCCCCTATTAAAATTGTCAATAAGCAATTAAAATGTCAAGCAGGTACGTAGTTTTTAATTTCTTTCCTTTAATTTGAATTTAGAATGGCGAATGAACAAGCAACATATGGCGCGCTTGACTATGCTGTCTTAGAAGCCTAAGATACTATTTACACTTGGCAGTAATGTAGCTCCATTAAATGGAGATCCAATGGAGGCCCGTATTTTTAAAATTAGTGATAGAAGTCGCTGTTTTCCGCCGTTGTCATGACGTCACCGAAAACTTATAACATTCTCAATAGCGAAACGATGGCAATTCTAGCAAAATAATTTCGTTTTCATAAAATGGCTGGTATTATATACCTGTATCAAAAATATAAGCCTACTACTACGAAGGCAGTGCATGGACAATTAAAAATTCTTTCTCCTGTCAGTCTACAAAGGTTGGCCTTTAAGAGATGAATGCAGTGACATCAAGCACTACAGCCATACTCTCTAAGATGACTGTACACAAAAAATATGGGATTCTGTCATCACTTGGACGTTCAAATCTTAACCCGTGCCAAATGTTTTTTCTTGTTTGTTTCAGTTTGAAGGTAGTATTAGCTTATTTTATTCTCACCTATGCCAATATTATTTTGTCCTAAATTTTGGTAAATCGTAGTATTCAATTTAGAAGCTTTTTCAAATATAGTTGAATATATCGTAGCTGGAAGAACGGACACGCCAATAGACTGTCGCAATAATATTTGTTAGGCTGTAGTATCTGCTATCTAGGTATACAAGATTTTTTTGAAAACATAAAATATGGATTCAAAATCTAAAGCTAATAATGATCAGTGCCCTATATTTACCTATCTGTGTACTGCATTATTGTAGGCATAAAGAAAAATAGATAGTTAGTGTAATCTGATACTACGAGCCCCTTCCCACTTCAGTTGGCCGACTTCAAGATTTGTACCAAAATATGCCTTTATAAACTAAACATGACGAAACTATTTACTTCTAAAACAACTCATTTTCTCAAAAACATTTTAGATACACTCTAGTCGTAAAAAATACATATTTGAAATCACTTAGACCTATAACTAATAGAACATCTGAACAAATAAACAATGTGCGAATAAATGCGCGAAGTAAACATAGCAACAATTGAAAGATTACCATTGGGTAACATCACCTTTATTTTTTATTACGGCTGAAATTCTTTGGGGCATAGTGTTAACCAGTTTTGACAAAAATTTGGAAACAATCCCATATTTCTTGAAGCTTTTGTCTCAGTTCGGTGATTGTACGAGCAGGATGTTGTCGTAGAACCTTTTTCATCTCGTGCCACAAAGTTTCAATAGGTGACAGATTTGGGCTGCTAGAAACCCATTTCAAAAGTGGTACATTAGTTTCTTCCATCCATTTTATAGCCTTTGTTGAGCTTGAGGTATGGCACGCTGCACCATCTTACTGAAACACAAAATCTTGGCCGGATGTCAAATATTCTTCCATCACTGGTAAAAGCTATTCTTCTAAAATTGCCAAATATTTGTTTGTATCCACATTTCCATCAATAAAATGAAGTTTTCCTACTCCTTTTGATGACATACTGTCCCAGACCATAATGGATGCTGGAAATTTCACTTTTCTCTCAGACAGTCAATATGGAAAGCTTCATTTTTTTGCGAATAACTCTACTGCGACTGTCACCAACACAAACTTCGAATCGGGCCGCATCACTCCATTCTATTGCAGACCATTGTTGAGGTGTCCATTGTCTATGTTCTTTAGCCCATCTAAGCCGATTTTTCTTTTGCAGTGGAGTTAATGGTGGTTTTTCTTTGGCCTATAATCAAGTTGTGCAACTTTAGGGTTTTTACTTCACTTTCTTTTATAAGAAAACTTACCTTGCAAGTGCTAAATCCCAGTTTGTGGGCCTCTCTATGAGTTGTGGACCTCGAAATTCTCCTTCCAACAGCGTCACTCCACAGAACACTTAATTGTAAATTATTGGCACGCCTGTTTTTCACGATTATTCTCCTTAATTCTCTTCGGTCGGCATTTGTGATATTACTTTTTTTCACATATCGCGGCTTAATATTAACTGAACCAGTTACGTTATATCTTCTAACAATATTTCTCACAATGTACCGCGATAAGTTGCAATTTCTGAGTTTGATTTCCCAGAATTAAAAAATTTGATTATCAGTAACCGAATTTTCTCACTAATAACTCTACCCATTTTGAAAACCTTAACTAGTTCCAGGCACTTGGATAATAGGCTTGTCGCTTATCACGGAAATTTAATTTACACCAAAACAGCAAATACTAGTACGAGTTGATATTGGAATAGGTCACACTGAGGATTCAATGGTTAAGTAAAAAATAAACAAATTTGGTACAGACGTGACTAACCTTCGAACCAATCGAAACGCAGGCTTGAATGTAGATGCGTTATGCTACAGAGACGTTAATATTCAAACGTGTCATTATATTCCAAGAACAAACGTCTCATATGGTGATTTATATGAAAAAAAGGTATTTTTATTTACTAAGGGTCCTTGTAGATATGTTCATTATAAATACATTATCTAAGCTGTTTTGGATAGAAAATATAGCATTTAATGAGATGGAGATTAAAGACGTTCCTTCAATCACTCAGTGTGTTGGAAGTGTTCCGAGTTTTCGATGTTGCCATGACAACAATATTACTCTTCGTATACGAGCCTTATCGCAAATTTATAAAATATGGCCCGGAGAGTTATCTATTTTGCTTTCATTTTTTCTCTATTACTATTACCTGGTAAGGTTATCTATCCAGTGGTTTCGCTGTAGGTATTGCAGGTTGACGAAAGAATTTTGTATCGTTCGTCCCATCGGGGCTATGTATCCTCCACCAGGATAAGTCCCCATTAGTCCAACGTACGCAACTGTGCCTGCCTTCAGTGCGCTTTGATACCTCCAAACAGGATCTTGTCTACCGAGGATGCCATTTCTATATTTTTCAGCTAGAGGCGTCCAGCCTACATCAAACCAGCGTTTCTCACCCATTCCAAAGAAGTATCCGACACAGTCAATTTCATCCACAGATTTATTGAAGTACTCTGGGCATTTATCTTGGACAGACCGATGTTGCCGAAGTCGGGCTACACCTATGTACTTATTTGCTTGGTCGACAGTCATGCCTGGACTGTCCACCACATACCGACCGTACCACTGTTTTGACTGCAAAGCCATTAGAAGGGTCGATTTTAGATATCCTGTAATACTCCCCCTTGTGTCTTCCACATATTCAGTCCTCGTTGTTGCTCCTGTTACGAGATACTTTATTTGATTATGGTAATAATGCGACAACGGGTTTTTATCTCTCAGTATAACTGTATATAATAGTACCACATATATTGCTATCATTATCAGATCTTCAAGCAACTCTATAACCTTTAATTTGAGATTCGCCTTTGTTCTCCTTTCTGTGACGAGACTATCGTTCAGCGGACTATATAAATGGCCAAGATAAGGTCGCAGGCCATTTTTTCCAAATCTTCTGAATACCTCCTTCCTCTGCCCTTCTACCTGAAGAGCGATTGACCTGAAGTTTTGAAATATGTACCTCATTCTTTTTTTCATATTATCCAACAAATTGTGTACGAATCTAGAAGTATTTTCCAAAACAAAAATGTAAACCAGCATACTACCTAACACACATGTTAGCCACATCAGCCCTGTAATGTGTGTCACCCAAAATCCGAAGATAACGAGTAAGGTCATATTGGTTACTATCAGTACTATCAGGAAATAACTCAAAATGCTGCCCAGGCCTATTCGAGATCCTCCGATATGGAAAATGTAGTCTTCATCGTTTGCTTGCTTCCTCATATAATATACAGTTGGATAATGTATGAGGTAGGTAATCGTAAATCCACAGCAAGTGGCGAGGAAGCTATACCAATTTATAGTGTATCTACTGTAATAACTTATGCTGTCACTTAGCCGCAACTTGGGACAGCCATATGCTAACATAATCGTTGTAAATATGGTGCAAATTATCGAAAAAATAATAGTTATTCTCTTCACCATAGTGAGAACGTCTTTGTCCTCAAATATATTCCACATGTGTGTTCCGTATCTCATTTTTGATATCAGTTTTGATATCCTCTGCTGTTTCAGAGACCCTTCCATATGATGCGTTGGATACGCTGTGCACTCGAATCGCTGGTTCCCGCTCATTCTAAACCAAGTATCTATGTTGAAATACCAGTATTTATTCGTTTGTAAATCGACAAGCTCCAAACTGATGCAGTACCACGCGGGTCTATATCCAAGCGCATCGAACCATATTTGTATACTTCCAACTTCACCTAAATATTTTTCAGTCGCCAGGAAAAACCAGTCCTCACAGTTTTTTTGTAACATAGACAATTCAGGATCAGGGTAGTTTAACAGATGTTCCTGACTTTTATTTTGCTTGCCGCGTATCTGTATAACCACATTTGAAGTTGTACCAGCACTTTTCTTGTCCGCCGTTCTCACTATTATCAGATATCCATATCTACATTCGTATGAGGTGTCCGGTAAAAAGTATATCGTCTCCCAAATCCTTTTTTTTCTGCCCAGCATTGAAAAGTATATCAACAACACGCAATATGTTGTATATATAGCGAGCAAAAACAAAAATATTATGTAATTAGCTTGGTATTCCAGTTCAAATTCAGTAAATGACGTGTGTTGTGGCTGAACTTCATTGTTTGTAACCTTTCCGGAGAAAATAGATGCTTGAAAACAACGGCACACTATGCGATTCACCTGTAAAGAACAAAATAGCGTCAAGTAGGCTGACTCCGCACTCCCCACGCAACGCACTTATATGATTATGTTCAGCGCAAACTAGATCCTCTGACAAAAGGGTCAGTCAAACAGGTACATACATTTGTTCATAGTCATTCTTTCCTTGCGATACCGATGGTGTATCTGGAAACGTCGCATCTCTCTGATACTTAACTTGGTCAGACGTGGCATCGTAGCAGCGCGGTGAGAGCAAAGAAAACACTATGCTGTGGCGCGGCAGAAACAGGTGTGATACCGTAACAGACAACTTATCAAGGGCGGCGGCATGACGCCAACAGTATATACACGATCCATCTGCCAAATATGTATATTTTTAAGGGCTTATGTAAAGAGAAATCTATGATGTGTGAAATAGTCTAATAGCTACGCAGAATTACAAACCCCACCACAAGTTTATCACCTCTAAAAATGGTCAGGATCCTGTGAACAGTTAAAAAACGAAGTTTGAGCGTTTTTGACTTATTTTGTTTTAGGCCTTTTTCTCTGCGGCCACTGGACCGATTTTAAAAAACTACAAAGCTTTTGCGCCATTGGAGTAGTAGTGATGTTTATTGAAAATTTAACCGATATCCGAGCGGTTCTTCTCTAGGTACAGGCGGCTTTAAGATTAGCGGTCAGACTGACAGATAGACAGACCGACGGAAATGAGTGTCATGGTTTTTCGTGGTGCTCATATAACTTCCGAAAAACATATCTCATTTTCGACAATTTCAGTATTGCAATACGTAAAAAGCAACGTTCTTTATGAGTTTGTGTTAACTGGATCAATTTCCAACAGAAAATTATTAACAATCCTACACCTGACACCATAATGTTTAAGAGGGGACTGAAGGTCGTCATTCATAATCTTAGAAACAGCGGCTGTGATCATAGCTAACCCTGTAACGTGTAGAGGAGAGTAACGAAAAACGGACTCCATTTTGTTACTGTTTTAATAAGAAATGCGTATGAAAGACTGTATTTTGAAAGCGTACAATGCTAGCTCTGTAGTGCTAAACATAATACTCCACCCCTCCATACGATTACTTGAAAATTATTATTAAAATATACTTTCCAACACTAAATTCCTCTGATTTGAAACGTAGGCACCAATACCGAACCTATAAAAACAATTCTGGGAAAATATATTTAAACGTATACGTAACATACATATATAGTTTTTAACTTCCTTACACGCGTACCTGCCTTATTCCAAGCTATCTTTTCAATTTGAAGAACATAGATTTAGCGATTCCACAGGGAGTCCATTTCCTGTTATTAGCTTTTCCGATTATCCTTTTGAAAACTTTAAGAGAATAATGATGCTTTAGGCAACTGAAAGGCCCCAATTTGAGCGACTTAGGCTAAACAGTTGTTTACCCAATAATATTTCAACCAAATATCAAGTGAACTTATTTCACGAGAAAAGCGAACCTAAAATCTACCTGTGTAAGCAAATATGTAAGTATAAATGCTTACTTGCAAGCATCAGGGAATAATAATGAAAACTGTGGTGCTAAGCAATAACTTTTAATAATACTGCGTTTATTGCACAACAGTGAATACCATTTACAGAGCAAAAAGCAGCACAAATTGAAAATATCTTAGAAATACAAAAAGAAAAGAACGAAGAAAGAAGAAACATTACAAACGTCACCAAAATCCATCATAGATGGGCTCGAGATTTAATCTTTAACTCACAGACACTACAGTGAAAAATATCACATACACTTGAAATTTTATTGGCATTTCCGCACATAAAATTAATCGGAGCCTTTAATAGTAAGTTAGTTTGAGCTCATTTGTATAGGAAAGTATTTAATTGTCTAGATATTATTCTAGGAACCAGAATATCTACTTGTACTAAAAATACAGGACAATCTACTTTTCCATTGAAAAGGTTGTGCAAGAAAAGTATAGGTAACTGATATCTACGGTTCTCCAAAGACTGATAATCAAATCTATGTAGTAGGTCAGGATAACTACAGCCTCTTGATGGATACACACCATCGATTTTAAAAGCTATGAATTTCAAAAATTTCTCTTGTGCTTTTTCAATAGCAACGATGTATTGGCTATATATAGGACTCCATATGAGTGAGCCATATTCTAGTTTGGATCTTACTAGACTGAAATGCAGAGGCGATAATGCTGAGGTATCATTGAATTTCTTGCAATTCCTAACAATAAAACCATATGTGCGACAAGCACTCAGCGGTGTTTGGCTTACATGAAAATTGAATGCCAACTGATTATCAAAATAGACACCTAAATCTCTAATGCAATCGATTCTTCCTAGTGTCGAATTCTCAATAGTATACTGTTAAGATATAGGCTTGGACTTGCGACTGAATGTTATCACTTTGCTTCTAGATATGTTCAAGTGCAGATGATTTCTCACACACCAGTTCTGTTGGAACGTGATAGCTATCAAAACACATGATGATGAATAAAAGCTGTGAAAGCTCCTTACTATAGCGTTGTAGATACCTAAACTATTATTTACACTTGGAATAATGGAGTTTCACAGAATGTACAGCTTATTAGACCAAGGGCCGCTTTAGGGGAAGGGTCCGATTGAGGGGACCCTCCTCTACTAGATTTGTTACGAAATTAAGTCTATTACATACCGAAGATCTTTTTGCATCACTGCTACAGCCATGTCGCCACTCTCTGGCAGCATAGTCCCATTTTTGACAAGATAGGGTAAAAACAGAGAAATTGTACTCCTTTTCTTCTGCCCCTGGAAGTATATACAAATAGTCCCAGGCGTCATATTTATCATCATTTGTTTTGTAGATTGTAGCATTGTATTTGGTAATCACCTCCGCTAGACTGAAATAGCTCGCTGGTGGTTTTTCGAAACGTGATATGAGAACCAGCAATGTACTCTCCTCATCTAAGTTATTGAACTGTATGATGTAAGTCCGTGAACCGAAAACGTCAATTCTGTACTGCGCTATTCGTTCATAATCGCACCAGTCCCGCTTTTGGGTACATTCGATTGCTTGGGGCGTTCTTCCAGAATACGTTTCTAGGATCGAAGATGCGTTTTTAAACATGAAGAATGTCAGCCTATATGGGTTGGAAAATTTCTCAACCGCTCGTTCTTCCACGTCGAAACGAACAAGTGCGATATTTGATGATGGTTTCTCAATCTGGGCCCACCACAGGATATTTTTTGAACTGGTACACATTAATATGTCGACAGCATCTTTTGTATAAAGAAAATCAGGCGAAGATGCTAACTCGATATTCTGTGATACTAACTTAGCCTTTCTGTGCCCTTCTCCAACCTTTTTACAGGCGACAACTTTGTAATGGCCAGCATCTACTGCTTTAGGTCTTTCTTCAATAGACATTGTCATAGCCAGTGTCTTCGCTGTTAGATAACAGATATTTTCCATCCTCCTAAAAGAGTCTTCCAACGTCCTCAAGTGCCTCGATGTGTTTTGATCATCACTATAGTCAGGGTAATTTTCTACGATTAACTCCTTGTCTATCAGTGGAAATTCAGTTGTAGGAATAACAACCTTAGCTTCAGATACTAGTAGGGCTTCATTTGAATTGGCGCCAGCTTGGGAGCATTCTGCTAACAATTTTGTGCTTCGTCTGATATCCTCTTCGTATTTTGCAGGAAACTGCAGTTTCTTAATTTCATTCAGCCCCGCTTGTGCAGATTTCTCGCAGAGAGTAGTAGCGTTCTCAATTACATTTATATCTGGCATATCTATGTAAGCTTTAGCTATTTTATTTGAAATCGCTGCAATTGTATCCGCTGTATCTGCCTTAACTGGAATATTTTGCAAGGCATCGTATATTCTCTGATGGTTTCCAAATATAACGTCTTTAGTTGTATCATCTCGCAATTGCTCCATATCGTCCACTAATACGTTTATGGTTTGCAACGCTTTTTCGTAGTTTCCATGTTCAATCAAGTTTTCTATCGAATCTGGAGACTTATCGTTGAAAAACTTATCATCGACCTCTTTTTGCAAGCCATCGGCTGTTTTATCCTTCAGAGATGATTCAACCTGTACATCCATAACCGTACTTCCTTTAAACTCGTGCCTGTCAATCACCCTCACTTGGATTTTTGTATTTGCACCGAGGATGAATGGCATCAGGGACAAGTCGTATCCTTCGGTTATCATCACATCAACATCGTTCTTCAAACTGTGAACCTAGAATTAGAGCTCGACCGATATAGGATTTAGATATTGGGAATTTTAAGTAAAAATAAAAAGTTTAGAAAATCTGCGCTATTTTGAAAAGTCAAGTAGCTTCGGAGTTTTAAGCTTTTATCATTCTCGGTTTCAACCTAGCACATCAATTCTTTTTATTTTCTGAATGATCAATTGATGTCGATAAAAAACGCAAAATGTATTTTTATCAAAAACAAATTGGAGGGGACATCCTGTATGTGTTAACATTCTTGGATTCCACGTTTAACACACCTTTCCCTGATATAGAGGTCAAAGAGTCTTGTGTGAATATGTTTGCAGTTATTGTTGACTCCTCATTAAATAAGCTCGACAAACGCGTAACAAACATGTAAAAACATCACGTCATACAGAGAAACAAATCAAAACTGCGGTTCTAATACTTGCTATAAAATACCAATTATTTGTTTAAATACTTTAATTTCAGTTTGGCAGCAACGGGATGCCTTAGACCTTCAGAGCATATGCTTTTTTTCAAATTTTGCTTTATTTCAAGTTTATCAGCTCCACCATTTGATACTTCTACTACATAGGAATTACTAAACTTAGTTGGCCTTTTCATCAGATAAAAGCTTGTAAAAAGTGGAGACAAAAAGGTTGAAATATGCAGGGTACGATTTTTATTTATTTATTTATCTTTCGATGAGCAAAAGTATATTTTGCGATTTTGACCACGCTGGATCGATTACTCAGGAAGCTAAAAAAAACATGAATTAGATGGAATTTGAGAATACCAAAAAATACAAGACTTTGACACAAAATTCACTATTGCACCCCTCAAAATGCAGGTTTAAAAGCTGCCAAACTTAACGTCGCATGTCCCTTTTTTCAATAGCCTGCCTGGAGCATTATTCTTAATACTTTCTGTCTGATTGTTTCATGTTCTGTATACAGATAACTGACAAACAATATTATCAGTTTTTGTGTCAGAAATGCATTTTTGTGCATTTTCATGCAATTTCCCTTAAATCGTAACTTATTAAGTAATAACAGTGCAGCACTAAGATTTTATGTGAGTATTCCACCTTCATGGAAGAATTGAGCGGATTAGTACCTGTTCCTTATGACTTTGTCTCCAAAATAAATCTTAGCTTTTCATGAAAATTCAATTTGCTGCAAATGAAGGTTTCAAGAAAATCAAAGATAATTCGAAGAGAAGTAATCACCTGCACAATTCTACTATAAATGTGGAATTTCAGAACTATACTAATATTTGTTTAATAGGTTACGATTGAAGAAATAATGCACAATAAAATGCACGGAAGACGCATTTTCTATCAAAGAAAATTGATAACATTGTTTTTCACCGTCTCTAGACACACCATGAAATAATCGCATAAAACATATTTGGAATACTGCTCCAAACTTTCAGTAGGAAAAACAGGGTCATGTGACCTAAGATGCTTTTTTATATATAATACTCAGTAGCTCAACAACTAATGATGAAAACACATCAGTATGATATAGCTTTTTCTCTTAGAATAGCCCATTGGAATTGTGATAATGATATGTCATTCCATTAAAAAAACTTACTATATATGCACTAAGTATTATATTAATGGACCCCCAGTATACAGGGTACTCCACAGATCGATACCAACCTTCTAAGGCAACATGGTAGACCCTATTTAAAATACTTTGAGCCATATGTACCTTAGTGCCAACGAATTAGTAGGAGCCAAGCCTATATGTTTACATTACTAAGTTTCTCACCAAAACTGAGTAGTTCCTTTTTTAGCTTTAGTGCATACTTTTGCCTCATTTGTCTACCAGTGACTACCAAAGTGACATCGCTGTATCACCATAACAATAATACCTATCGTGGGCTGGGTTAATATCACAATTATCAAACACTGGCAGTATTAAAAAATAACACCAAAACTACGAATCAAATGACAGAACTGTCAAAAAATTACCAAACAAATCCCAGACGGGCTCCTTCTGGTTAGACCTACCTTTCTTTAGTTACGAGTTATGCGATCAGATGTGACAATACGTCATTTATCTCGCCAAGTAGAATGCCGTTATAACATTTCTAGAACCTACCAAAGCCTAGAAAGTACAAATTGAATGTGATGATTAAATAGTATATCAAAAATAAGAAAGCCACGGAGATGCATTAAAGATAATGGCACCAGCTTAGAAAATTAAGAAGCGATCAATTTTGTTACTGCCAAGTGGTTTACTTTCCGAAATATGGTTTGTGCTTTAATATTTACTGATATCCATGATGTGCTACCCATTCTAACATTTTGTGGCGCTAATTAAAAATTGGCTGACTCTGTACTTCTCACGCAACGGTATCATCAATTCAAAGGATTGGAAACATAAAAAAAAACAGAGCTTGTGCGACTATTTTTTCGTAGCTCCGCCGCCACTGGACCGAGTTTCAAGAATTACAAGGATTTGTCGTCCTTGGCATAATAGTTATCTTGTGCGAAAGTACCATCCAAATACAAGCAGTACTTTCCAAGCCATAGGCAGTCCAAACAATCGCAGACCGACCGACAGGCAGACTGACAAATCGACGGACCGACATACCGACAGACAGACCGACGGCAATGTGTGACATGGTTTTTCGTGATATACAAATGATATAACATCCAAAAAACACATCTCACTTCTGAAATTCTTCCTGATAGCAATACTTCCTCGCCAGTAGGCGTGGGAAGTAAAGAAAGGTTGTATCTCTCTCCCAGTAATACACCGTCTAAAAGAAGCTTCATAATGAATTTAATTTAGACAGTTGGCAAACTTTTCCAAGAACTCTCATAAAAACTCACGAGGCACTCTGAAATCCACCGCTTGATAGATGTTCATGCTCTCGACCTTTCTACAACTTAAAAAACTTTTTGAACTAATAACTTTTTGTAAAAATAACAAAAAACAAAAATTTCATCTTCTTAATTTAGCAAGCGATGATTTTTCCATGTTTAACTTTTTGAGAAATAAAATAACGTGACTCTTCACCTGTTGGACTTTGTACTAAGGTAGAAATGGAGTTTTCTGTCACTCCTTGAAAGGTTAGTATTTATCTTTCGAGCACCCTGTATATATCAGTGTGGTCGGTCCGTACTTGAAAGACGAATTCTCCTGGTGCAACATCGCATGACACTAGGAATTCAGTCTCCAGAGCTACCCCAGATGTTGGATTCACGCTGCAGTCACCCAGCCGAGGAGGAGCGTGCACCTGCAGTTCAATCTTTGCTTCCCCGCCAAACTTCTGAACTGATTTATAATCTATGCCATACTTTCTTCCTCCTTTCAACTTATTTGCTTTTATACGAAGAACGCGTTGACCGGTGCCACCTTCTAAGCCTGTAGCAGTGTCAAAGTTGTTATCTATTGACCACTGATTCATATCCTTGTACAACTCATCGCAGTTTTCAAAACATTGCGCTTTCAAAATTGTCGGTTGCTTCCTGTCGACTTTCGCAACGAAAGGAGGACAATTTTTGTAACATGTTATCCCTAGATGCTGCGCGCCCAAATATTCTGAAACTTTTACTTTTTGTATAGCCGTGTTTGCGGTACCTTCACGATTGGTTACTGTTAGCTTGAACGTATACAGTACATGCTCGACCGTAGTGTACTCAGCAGGTACCTCTAAAGTCTTTTCCGAATGTCCCCCACTGTTCAACACGTCGCAGAAATTTTCTTTGTAATTTCCTTCGACATCACAGCTCCAAGAGAAAGTCAACTGCTCTGAGCCAGCTGGTCCTTTCAGTGTGTCTATGGTCAAGTTCCCCCATAGATTGAAGCCCTTGCTTCGAGGTACTGTTACCATAGTACCTCCAGTCAGCAACGCAAGTGGTGGTTCAGGAGCGATTGAAAACAAACACACAAGTCGTACGGAAGTATAGTCCCTATCTCCCACTTCTTTCAAAAATAGTTGAATTTGATAGTCTCCTGCACCTACAAGAGAATAGAACTTTTATACTCAACTGTATTTCCTGGTGTAGAAATTAACTCATAAATATAATAAATAATACATTTTTAAAAACAAGCCTTCATTTAGCTGTTTAATATATGAACTAAAAATTTGAGAATAATATTTTCTATTAGAAATATTTAAACAATAATGAAGCTTCTTCAACTCATGTTTTCAAATAAAAGTGCGTTACATATTTTTTCCATCGTTCAGTCAAAACATAAAACGCTTCTATTAAATAACTTGAGATGCAGAAGTTTCGTTATCATTTAATATTTCCAATCGGAAATAAAGATTATTCACTTTATTATCAGCTAAATAAAAGCTTGTTTATAAAAATGTAATTTCTGCTCTATTTATTTTTACTTTTTGGTATTTATGATGTCATATAACAAGTTTGGTAATTTCTATATAATTTTCTTATATTCCATCAATGGGACTTTTGAACTGCCCTAGAATTGGAAAAAGGCTCCTCAGGTAAATTATTGCACAGTCCCGATACCCTTGTGACAAAGGAGCGGTATCAAGCACTTCAGAATGTACGAAGTTGGTCGCGGTTAGGATGGAAGGCCGAAATCCGGCGAGTCGGTCAGGCTGGCACATCGCGCGGCGGCACCATAGAGAACAGCTCTGAGGAACAAAGCCCGTTGGTGTAGCAGTAAAACAGAGCTAGATCGCAGCTTGTTCAAAAGCGTCCCGAAACTGTTCGTTGGAGACGACTCATCAATCAGTCGGGCAATCACCTCTAAACAGCATCGAGCACGGACAATGTAGTCGAGACAACAGAACTCCAAGTATGTGAACAGTATTTGAGGCTAGGCCTTATTTGGGCCTTATACCGAATGAGGAGGTCACGTGGATAAAAGTACTTCTTAATGCTAGACTAGCTTGTTTCCACCATCTGCCGCTGTTGACGAGATGTGTTCCTGCCAGGTCAAGTCCTTGGTGATCTGGACTCCGATGAGCCGAACTGAATGGCTCTTTGGGAGAACCGGATGAGCGCTAGGGCGCTTCTTGTTGGTCAAGGTACAGTACTGTGTCTTGGAAGCAGTAAACCGTACCAGGATGTTGCGACCCCAAGCAGTGATAACCTACAGGTCACTGCTAGCCTGCATGTCTCCAGCTC